CAAGTCTCTTCTATAATTTGGCACATGTAGTACAGGCATACAACAGTAAGGAGTCTTTCTTCCACTCCTAATTGTCTATAGTGGTCTTAGATTCTTAATTATTTTCAGCAAACTTTATTGCATCACATAGTAATCTTATTATGGTGTCTTCCATTCATGATCTGGTAATGCAAGTATATTCTCATGTGTGGTTTTTTACAGGTTATTTTGTACTTAAACTACACCTTATGCAATATTACTAATTTATGTGAATTCTCCTCATACTGTATTTCACATCTGTATCACTGACTTTGATGCATAAAATTTTATTCCTCTCTGCTTTTGTGAGTCCTTCTCAGGCAGGGTTTTTAGGTAAATCTCTGTTTATCTAGAACTGTAATCCATTCACTTGTTTCTCCAACTCTTTGTCACTGGCAGCCTAATTACTAATCCTATTTTCTTTCTCTCAGTAGTATAGTATTTCTCTCTTATAGTATTGTCCAAGAATTGCATTGTTTGAAGTCTTTCTTCATTCTGTTTTTGTTCTAAATATATAATGTATATTTATATGAAATATATACATTTAATATAACATAATAACAACCAAAAATAACCTGTCCCAGGAAACAAAATTCTGAGGGAATTTTTAAAAAGTAAGAAATAAATGACTAGCCATTCTTTATTCACTCAGGAAACATAAAGTGCTAGATATGTGCCAACCAGCATTCTAGGAGATAAATTATTCTGTGGTCTACTGTCGTTGGCCTAAGCATTATCACTTTATTAATTGGGAACGGGGAGGGAAAATAGTAATGACTGATAAAATTAGGTGAGGATCTCTCTTGACTAAATCTTTTTTCTTTCTATAAGTCAGTAAAATCTGAGAATTTAATTTCTTATCTTTTTATAAGCCTAAGGGCCCTCTCGCCTGTCCCCTTTAACTTACATGGACTTTCTGAACATTCTAGCTAGAATAGGCCATTATGTGATGGATTATTTTTACTCAGAGGCAATTCACTTAACTCGTGAATGAGTGAAATATGCAGTTTAGCTTTTCATGATTATGTACATAGTGGCATTTAACAGTAAATTCAAACAATTATGTTTTTAGAATAACGACAAAATAATTGTTATTTTTATTCTCTAGTAAAAATTACTGACAGATTAGTTGCAAAAGAGGTGATTATAAAATTTTAAAAAATAAAACTGTTAAAAGTACATGGCTTTTCAGAGAATGGTTAATTTTTAAAACATAGTTCATGATTCTCAAAATGCTTTCTTTATGTAGTATTTTAATATTATTTAAAATGACATTTGANTCATGATTCTCAAAATGCTTTCTTTATGTAGTATTTTAATATTATTTAAAATGACATTTGAATTATAATTATCATTTTGGAAGAAATTAAAGATTAAGAGCTCAACTCGCTTTAGAATTACATGTTACTAATAAAATGCTTTTCAAACTTTATTTTAGTGTTGTGGATAATTTTAGAAAAAAGGAGAATGATGCTGCAGTTAAAATCCAAAGCTGGTTTCGAGCATGTCAAGTTCGGGCATACATCAGGTACATTGATTTTGTCATGGAAATGTCAGATATAGCATGACAGTGTATTCCTTAGAAAAGTGCTCATTTCAAATAATCTTTTATTTCACTTATAATGAAGTTAATAAGTTGCATGATGTTCTTTTAAAGAAATACATAGTATTTCTGATCTTTTCTTACTAGAAAACTAAATTATATTGACTGTATCTCTACTTTTAAAAATTCTCTGTATTATAAACATTCTTGATCAGATTCTTTTCCCCAGATTCCATAGAATGTGACAAAAGATCGGGTTTGTATTTATAACAATGAAATTATTCCAATCTTTTCTAACATATTGGTATATAAAAGCAATGATGCCTAAATGATGTCATTCTGATTATACAAAGAGACTGAAATTTATTTCTGTCTTAACTCTTCTCACTTTTTTTTTCTTCAGTGCCCAAATATTCCTTCAGTCTCCCTTCAATTCTGAAAAAACTATTGTCCAGGATAAGGTAGAGGAATAATATGCCTAGACCATAATAACTCAGATAGCCCACATGGGAATTAGACAGTATCATACTTCCTATGGTATCTAATAGGAGCCAGAAATGCAAATTTAAAGTGTGAAGACTAGTCTTCTCTTCACCACCATACAAACTAGGAACATAGCAGCAAAAAGAGTATTTTTTAATCCAGCAGTCTAATGTGACATTGGCTTAGATAGACTCAGGAATATAAGAAAAAAATGAAGAGGGGAATTATTTCTTGACCTCAAGAATTATTTCTATGTA